TTCTGCTTAATACTGGTTTGAGGTTTACTATTTGAACCCTTTCAAATGTGAATATAGTAAAACACACTGACTTCAGTAAGTGCAACTTGTTTAAGACATTGTTTTGAAATGTTACCAGCAATGATAAGCAAGTTGAGGCCTTTTTGAAAATGGTTAAAATGTGCAGAATGTGGCTTACCTTTCAATCTCTAGTCTTGCTACACATAGTTACACTTAACAAAGTTGAGATAAGCAACAAGTGAAACCTGGCCCTTGGTCAAAACTTCAAACACAAAGAAAGTGATTTGTGTAATCTAATACTATGTGTGTAATAAAACTCAACCTGTAAACTTGTAAAAAGACAGGTAATTATTGTTTCCCTGCTTTATACCTTGTTTGTTCACCTTTAATCTGTCAATGCCAATTGTTTTCTTTAAATCTTGATTATTGGGTAGCAGTCATAGTAAAGATAATAGTAAATTATACACTTGGGTTTTTAATATCATCACAGACACCTTTATAAAGTTAGCCTTTTAATTCATGATACAATGTAAAGAAAACTGTCTTTATATTCTGTCAAATAAAACCTGGTGTGCGCTGAAATTTTACTTTTAAAGATACATGTCTTATCAATAAATCTATTAAGGTACTTTTACAAGTTTCCTTAGAGAATGCTATCTCACAATGATGAAACACATTGTACAATAGAAGCAAAATGTGATATAGACATATATGGAAAAACCTACGACAGCATAAAATATGATGGTTGAGAATTACATGAAATTTGTACCCATTTGGCAGATTTAGAGGGGTGTGTAGGCCCATGCCCTCCCTTTTTTAAATACCAAAATAATGGTCTTATAAAGACTTTATATGCCTAAATATTAACCCTATTTGGGGGCATTATAAAATTCAGGAATACATGTACTAACTCAGGTAAATATAGACGAGAGCACATACCCCTTAAAAACTCTTATTTAAAACTCTATATAGGTGAACAGATAATTAATACATTTGTCTGGCGATTTGCAATTATCACATTTATTTATTAAGCACATTAATTTCATGTTTTACAGCTCAATGTAATCTTAAAACCTAAAAATCGTGCTTTTATTTCTATTTAAAATATGACAATGCACAATTCAAGTTATACCTGACATTCTAAATTTGGATATGAATAAAAACTATCAATAAAAGGCACCAGAGGAATTGTGTCTGATAACACCAGAGTCCGGATGTCTGACATTGTTAGGTAATTCTATGTAATGTTTGTATCATATTATTTTATCCAATTTCAGCTAGAAAATGAAATGAAATGAAATGGGGTTTAACGTCCTACCATTTTGCTCCTACTGGGCTAATGAAGACGGGCATACGCCATGCAGTGTGCTATGAGGGAAATTTTGCTCTTATTTTGAATTCCAACTGTTAAGAGTTCTTTTACGTGCACGCCAATGTGTACACAGGACCTTGGTTTTTCATCCCATCAGAATGACTATACACTGTCCCTTGCCATGCCCTCCGTCCTACACCACTTACAAGGGGAAACCACGCCGGAAAATGCTGATGAACTTTCTTGTCCAACAGACGGGAGAGAGAGAGAGAGAAATGGGATTTAACGTCCACTCGACACAACCGGAGGACCCGGAGAAAACTCACGAAGTTGTCATGTACAACCGAGGATTTGAAACCACGCCAGTTGACTCAATGACAGACCTTATGATACAGCGTGCACGTGCTAACCATTCGGCCATCCAACCCCCCTGGCCAACAGAGGAATCGAACATAGAACGACCAGGTTAGCGAGGCAACGTCCTACTCATGAGCCATTCAGCTAGAAATCATCAAGGCGTATTACTCACGAGCCATTCAGTTCGAAATCATCAAGGCATATAAAGAACATTTAATAATTTGAAATATTCCAAAGGGAATCATTCGGGCAATTCCACGCCAAAGTATACAATTAGGTGAAAAATTTAATTTGTTGATAAGTGGACAAAAATAGTGTTTTACTTTTATGGTGAGAAATAATCTATATTTTGAAGGCAAACTTAAATTTGGGCGGAAACTTTTCCGATTTTTTTTGTTATTTGTTCTTGTGTCAAGGTTCACATTGTAAATGTCGAAATTATAATTTTATTGTATTTTCTTACTTTGTGTTTGTTTGATAATTCTGCATCTGAATGATTTGGCATTAGTTATCTGACAATGTATATAAACATGATATTTATACATTAAAATATGAAAATAATATATTTTTTGTGAAAGTAACCAACATTGAAAAATATCGCTATGAGAATGTATGTCCGTTAACAAATATTTACATTTTTTTCTCTCTCATTCATATTTATGTATGGAATTGTTTAAAACTAAAGCTAAAATAACCCATTCTTATTATAATGACCATAAAAAGAAAAGATTTGCAAAAATTCTCTGAATAACTTGGGTTTTCATAGATGTACGTCCGTTAATTTTCACAGTATTTCATGTTACCAAATATTTACATTTTATCTCTCTCATTCATATTTATCTATGGAACTGTTCAAAAACTCATATTTAAAGCTAATATCACCAATTCTTGTTATTATGACCAAACATTTGCCCAAATTCTCTGAATCATTTGGGGTTTCATAGATGTATGCACGTCCGTTACCAAAATTTTAGGGTAAAAATGTACGTCCGTTACCAAAATTTTTAGGTCACAATATTTTATGCAAGGAGTAATGTTTTCAGGAAAGTAACTGCTCCATTAATTCAAATGAGTTAATTATTATTATTATCTATCAGTCCTATTACTTAAAAATTTACATATCTCATGTAATGGGTTAGCAATTTTCACTTGTACGTCCGTTAACAGAAAATATGTACGTTTTTTACCACAATAATTTCTAATTTACTGGGTTACAAGAATACAAATGTGAGAAGTGATCATACAGTACACTTCTAGTATTAGTGTCCTTTCTTACAGGGATTAAAACTTTTGAATTCCACAGGACAATTCACCTAGTTTTGCAACTATGTTCATGCAGGCAAATCATAGTGTTCATTTCTGTACGTTCGTTACCTATACTTTGAGGAGCCAATATTTATTTCAGGCGTTCATGAACAAATTAAATCATATATCAGTTAATACTTATAACATATGTCTTTAATTCTATATGAAAACCAAACAGTTAATTATTCATGGTTAGATAATATTGGAAGTATTCAAAATATGACGAGTTCAAAATGTACGCCCATTACCGTGGAATTGCCCATTCATGATAATCATGATAATCAATATTAATAAATCTAACACTTTTACTTACACGTATTCAATCTTCCTTTAACTTTAAATAATTGACTGAAAGACATAATACAATCTGTTTCTTGTTAACTCCTCGTATTTAATGACGTTCCATTAGAAAATCTTATTTAATGACTTTTATCATAATATAAATGATTCATTTTCCGTAAAAATTAAAATTACAAAGTGTTGTGCAATATTGTTCTTTATTACGTAATAATAACAACAATGAAAGATAAAACCACATTATCCTATATTAGTATTATATTGTTCAGGTATTTTCTGGGATGGGCAACTGTAGAGTATTGGAAGCTTTCTATCATGGACCCCAGCTTTTTCTTGGTGCACTCCATTTTCCAAATATTCCTCAATATACGATACTTAAACATGCATTATGCAAGAGCTAAATCTGCCTATTGCAGGTCTTTCTTTAGGCCTGAAATGTTATCTACATTATTAATTAGACATTAATTAATTTATCCAGAACATACTCAACTCTCGATGCCATCGCTAGCCTGCGATATTTAGTGGATTTGAATACATTTTGTGATAATAATTTAACGTAAAAATGGATAATCGAGACATAGTTTATCATCGCACCAAAGTTAGTATGACGTTCAAGGCTAGTCTAAAATTTAATCGCTTATATCTCGCTTCAGAGTGAAGCAATTTGACTTAAAATTTCAGCATATTCTGTTCCATTATCTATTTTTTAACTATTATAGCAAGAACTGTCAGCCCTTTATCTAATCTTACCTAATGCCCCTTTAAATGTACCGTACCGTACATTATATTTGAATGTAATTAATTATAAAGATCATATTTGAGTGTAAATAATTCTAATGATCATACTTGAATGTAATTAATCATAAAGATCATACTTATCACACAAAGTATTACAGGCCTGGATATAAGGCACCAGTCACAGACTTTGTAAAGTGCTGTACTATGTCCAGGTTTGCTTCAACATACCTGTTTTGCATTTCTTGTGTGGGGTATTATATTAATATATTATTATATTGTACAATGACATAACTTAATAATTCCGATTAGTCGCTAGAACTTATGGTTTTAACGTTATTTCATCTGGATTATCGCCCTTATTATTGTGATTTTTTATCACCTTCTAAGATATGACGTCATTCTCAGTCAGCAGGCGGCTGTCCCTCGAGACAGTCTACATTTCCTACTTGCTTCTTTGTATTCAGTTTTGTTTTTGTTTTTTGTGACGATGGAACATGTACCCTATATGTATTAAATACTGAAGAGTTTCTTTATTGAATTTAAGAGTTTAGACTACTTTTTTATACATTTCACCGATGTGGTTACTTGTATAGTTGAATTTTACTACATATGCTTACATTCATATTTCGTGTAGCATATAGCAGATCATGACTCATGCTGGCATTACACAATGGGTTCTTTGGGTTGTATTCCTAATTGTTTTCAAATTTGAGTGAAGTCTGTGTCACTACAGACCCGGGACTGTACAGCGCAGTGGATGCTTACGGCTAGCCCCCCGGATCCATTCACTTTTTATGAATTGTCTGTATGTTTGTGTTTTCCTTAGTATGATGTCCTGTCCGTGTATTTGTTTTTGTGTAAATTTTGTGTGGTGCAGTCCCCCTGCACTTACTAATAGTGTGATAATTTGTACTGGACAAAGTCTGTGGTTGGTGTCTTATGTCCAGGCTTTATGAATAAGAATCATATATTCATAAGAATTACTACAAACCTGTTCACAATAAACAGTAATCAAGACAAATTATTAAACATGTTGTTGGGTTAACTTGTACTACACCAGTGTCTGGTATTTATCTTCTTTCACTCTTGAGATTGCTGCTTAAATTAAAACAATATAAAAGCTTAATTAGCTACCTACTTTAGGTAACAGAAAGTGGCATTATTGGCCTAAATAACCCTCAAAAGGAAAATGAATGTAATTAATTTCTAATAATATTTTATTGAAACAACTATTGTCTCATCGAATATAAAGCACTGACTATATTTGAGGTTTTAAAAAATTAGAAGTTAGAACTTCTAGTTCTAATCTTTTTCTCAGCGACAGCTTTGCAAATCTCTCTGAAATATCTAAATCCCATATATACTCTTGAACAAAAGTAGGGGATATTCAGAAACAATACAAAACTGCAGAAATGCACTGCTGTTTTTATTAGAGGTATTCAGCAATTCGTCGTTGCATGCTACTAATTAACCGTCCTATCACGATTTAGGACAATCTGATCCACTCCTCTTGCAGTGCCACGGCCAATTTTTGCAGTGTTGTCGGTTGACGCTGACGTCGACGAATACGTCTCCCGATCAAATTAAACGTAACACACTAAAGCAGAGATACGCTAAACAGTAAATCTTATGCATGAACCGATAGAAAAGCAAACATGGATAGGATAAATCAGCACGCGGTAGTTTTCATTAACACTTCCTTGGAGTGTCAAATTTGACAATGAACCCCTTCCACGTGTATGGCGCTATTGCGTGTCACACATGCAGCTCAGTGGTTCTGTTGGGGCGATAAGTTCTTCATCTGTGAACATATGATACTCTCAAAGTCAAAGCATGTCAAGTGTCCATGACTATTTATCATTATCATATCAGAACCAGCACAGGTATTTGCATTTCAATATCCCCTACTTTTTTTGAAGAGTATATTAGCGATTTAACCTAGCTCCTTTAAATACGAGAACTTCTCAAAATTTTGGCCTATCATATTCATAGATCACTATCATCAGTGCTTCGATCCGTGAAACGGAAACGTCAACATTTTATGATCTTACATGACCGTGCCATCGAGGATGTCCGAAGTTCTGACTGCTTCTACTTCTAGGTCGTTCGGAGTCGGACGATAGTGTGACGGGTAACAGAGAATTAAGATGTAGCCAAGTTGTCATAAGTGTCATTTTGACAGAATTGACCCAACAAAATCTTCATGATCTTTGTTATTAAAATTCCTGCTTAAATGTGTTTCCACTTCTAGAGAGCAACTATCAGGAATGACCCGAGTAACTCATAACAAGATAGTGTAACTTTCAAAGGAAACAACTGATGTCTTTCCAAGGTGGCAAGACTTATCTAAATCCACCATTAAGTTTACAGCTTTTATCGCATTGATTTTTATCAAATGTCTTGAAAATCTTTATGATTCATTTCGGTTAAAAATTAGAGTTTTGTTACAGAAAAAAATAGTGTCCCAATACAATAAGCACATCAGTGTAACTTTCAAAGAAAACAGCTGATGTGGTGTGAAATCCCTTCACTGGCTGCCCATAAACAGACGTATTCAATATAAAATAATCCTCCTTGTACTTGTAGTGCCTGATGAATATGTATGTATTCCATTTAAGCGGTGGTACTTTTTACCGCCGACCACCACCGACTACCGCCGACCAAATGCTTTTTACCGCCGACCGTCGCCGACCACCACCGACTACCGCCGACCAAATGCTTTTTACCGCCGACCGTCGTGTAATTACCGCCGACCAAATACTTTTTACCGCCGACCGCATTGTAATGACTTTCGACCGTAATATAATTACCGCCGACCAAAATACTTGTTACCGCCGACTATATTACGGTTGTTTTTTTTGTAAAAAAGAATACAAGAATGTTATTTTTTATTTGAGGTGTAATCACGTACAACTGTCGAAAAACATTCATATATATTTTAAAGAATATGGAAGGACAAACTACAATTTAGATATTGAAAGGCAAATAAAAAAAATATCAAGATTGTTTCAGCTACTGGTTATAAATAAATAACATTTTAGGCCTATCTTCTATTAGTGCGGGGGTTAGGGTTAGGGTTGTCGACCATATTTATATATAATAAAATCTATAGTTTTATCAAACTCTGTGTATTTAACCAAATCTATTTATTTGTCACTAATAATTTAATTAATTTTATATAGTCTTCGGTAACAAGGAATCGTTAAGCATTTGGTCGGCGGTAACAAGTATTTGGTCGGCGGTAATTATATTACGGTCGGCGGTAAAAAGTATTTGGTCGGCGGTAATTTCACGACGGTCGGCGGTAAAAGTATTGGTCGGCGGTAGTCGGCGGTGGTCGGCGGTAAAAAGTACCACCCCCATTTAAGGTTACTTATTAATCACATGATCGGTATTTCAATTGTTGTTAATTAGAGTTTCGTGTATGGAATTAATAAAACGTGGTTGATTAGATTCGTAGTCGAGGAGGGCGAGACATTAAGTAATATATTGTAACAACAAGAGGGCCGTGGAAGCGGACGTAAAATACAATATATATTACGCAATGTCTTAAGTTCGAGAGCATTAAACGACTTCAAATACAGACACTCCGCACGTGCTTTTACAGTGAAATACGTCACGCGAGTCCAATATTTCACTAGTATAAATAATTTACGATTAGCAAGTTGCCCGTACAAGTATTTGCAATAATGGTACGCCATTCCGATGCAATCCTTGAGATAGAATTGGCGGACAACGAGTGACTTGAAAAACTCCTACAAAGAATTGAAGAACTGGGACTTACTTTGAATAAAGGGAAATGTAAATTTAATATGCCACAATTAGAATTTATGGGACATTTATTATCAGCGCGAGGTATAGTTCCTACAAAATCTAAAACTGAAGCTGTGACTGAAGCGAGTCGGCCTCAGAGTGCTTCAGAGGTGCGTTCATTCTTAGGTCTTGTTAATTATAATAGTGCTTGTTACATTAAGAACTTATTAACTATTGCAGAACCTTTGAGAAAATTAACTAAGAAAAATGAACCTTTTGTTTATGAATATGAACACTACAGGAAGATTCGTGTTGTAATTTAAAGAAATCTTTGGCATGTGCATGTACTTTAGGTTATTTTAATAGGCATGATAGAACTTTTGTCATTACTGGTGCTAAGTCCTGTTGGTTTAGGCGGAATTTTGATTCAAGAACAGCAAGGTGAACATAGGATAATTTGTTATGAAAGTAGATCACTCACCGAAGTCCAAAAGAAATATTCACAAACTGAGAAAGAAGCAATGGGTATAGTTTGGGCATGTGAACGTTTTCATATGTTTTCATATGAAAAGGGAATGGGGAGATATATCCTGACTGTAATAGAAAAGCTTGTGAAAGTAATGTTAAAGAGGTTGATTTAGTTTTATTGAAACAAATGCCTGAGAATAAGTTAATGTCAAATTCTGAAGCTAATTCATATCATGTTTATCTAAACATGGTAGTTTAACTGTAGAAAATGAACATGGATTGAAAAAACAAGCCAACAGTGAGGCTGATGTCCCCCGCCGAAATAGGAAAATAATTAGAGGACACATATAAATTTATCACAAATTATCTTTTACAAAGTATTGAACAATCAAACAGTATATCTTTACTTATAGTCTAAGCATACAATGTTTTTGATGGAATAATTATAGCATATTAAGGGGAAAACATGCTCTATGCCTACAGATCTAGAGTTTGGTTGTATCAACGGGTCTATTTTCCATCTTGCTGCAAGTTGTGCAATGTTCACTGTTTTCTTTCTGTCATTAAATGTCAATTCATTATTGCATACTACATATTTAATTAATTTATAATAGTTTCTTTTTCAATTTGTTTTTTCCATTTCGAGGGCTGAAAGCCAGAAGTGTCTATCTCCAAAATTGCCAAAAATGAGTTAAATACACCAAACAGTTCGAAATTTCGTGTAGTTTCTCTGCAAAAATTATCTAAGTCCTATCTTTATAAATAATGACGCAACAGAGAAGTCATATATTGTTAAATACAGAACCACTAATTTTTTTTCCAAGCAAAAAAACGTATCTCCAGATAGAGAGTTCTTGCTGTCATTTTGTTTTGCTACATTAGTGCAAGATATGTATATATCCCACTTGTCCAGTTCTTGCTAATAAAACACTTATATGTTGAGAGTTATTTCCCTTGAATCACTGCCTAAACTGCCTTGTTAATGTACCAGAAAAGGATATAAAATTGATGTTTTCACTTTTGTGATCTGTTAAAATGGCTGGTAGACAAGGTAAGAGACACTTAATTTAACTAGTGTAACTTTATCTACAATAATAATGTAATATTCCAAAAGTACTTCATTAAAATTTAGTTTAGTCCTTGATGGATATATCCATTTCTTGCTGAAGTAGGCCTACGACCAAGGACAAAAATATGATCACTTTAAATTGATATTAAATGTTACAATATTGATATTTCGCAATTAATAATAAGGAAGTTGAAATATTTTATTGTTTTTGTTTTAGGACGATGTCTAGATGCTACGGAGGCGCTGGAACTATTAGAGGATATGGAAAGCGAGTTTGATGATGCTGATAATGACCCAGATTATAAAACTTCTGATTCCGAGGGTGATGACACTTCTGATGATTAGTTCTTTACCACAAAGAAATCTTCTGCACATAACAAGGCACGAGATGTTTTACATGAAGACCAAGACAACACACCAGGTGGTAGATAACACACACGATAATGGACAACACACACGATAATGGACAACACACACGATAATGGACAATAAGACAACACACAAGATGATGGACGACAAGACAACACACAAGATGGTGGACAACAAGACAACACACACGATAATGAACAAGACAACACACAAGATGGACAACAAGACAACACCCAAGATGGTGCAAAACAAGACAACACACGCGATAGTGGACAACAAGACAACACACAAGATGATGGACAACAAGACAACACCCAAGATGGTGGACAACAAGACAACACACAAGATGATGGACAAGACAACACCCAAGACAACACACAAGATAATAGATATTTTTTTTAAAGTTAAATAGTGACAAAACTGAATATATTCTTATAGGATCAAATAATAATTTAAGCAAAATAGCTGATTGTAGATCCATATCTATTGCTAAGTCTTTTATTTTACCTGTTAATTCTGCAAGAAATATTGGTGTTATCTTTGACAAAAACATGAACATGATTAGTCAAATTAATAATGTATGTAAAAGCTGCTATTTCCACATTTACAATATATGTAAAACTAGAAAATACATTTCACTAGATGCAACTAAATCACTTGTTCGTGCCTTTATAACTTCTAGGCTTGATAATTTTAATTCTCTCCTTGCTGGTCTTCCTATAAAACACCTAGATAAACTTCAAAAAGTTCAAAATTGTGCTGCCAGATTGATAACTCTTTCGAAAGAACATGACCACATAACTCCAATTTTAGCTTTTTTACACTGGTTACCCATTAAGTACCACATTAATTTAAAAATACTTTTATTGGTTTATAAATGTTTTAATGGCACTTCACCCTCTTATATAAAAGATTTAATCACTGTATATACGCCAACTAGATGTTTGAGATCATCTAGTGACCCCTTTCTCATTATACCCATCTCTGTAAATCTTTCTTCTTTCGGAGAACGACCCTTCTCTTTCCAGTCACCGAGACTCTGGAATAAGCTCCCTTTTTTCATAAGGTCAGCAAAATCTATTACAATATTCAAACAATCACTAAAAACACATTTTTATACATAGGCTTTTAGTTAAAAAGATTCTATATATCTTGCATTTTATCATATGATTTTGTCATTCTCTATATGTATGTAATTTTATCATTTAAACTTTTATGTACATTTGAATTTTATATTGATTCAATTTATGTTTTTGTAAAGCGCCTCTGAGCATTGCTCTGCAGTGCAAGACGAGCGCTGTATAAATATCGTTTTAACGATAATAATAATAATAATTCTGTGAGTTAATGTTCAATTTGTTAAAATGTATTTGAATTACTTGTTTGAATTAAATGCATTTTTCAATGTTTTAAAGTAGTTCATTCATTTATTCATTTCAGTGGCGGCGGTAGCGAATCTAGGAATTTGAAATAGGTGAGAGGGGGGGGGGGCGAATAATTATTTTAAACAAATTTTGAAAAAAAAACCAGTGTTTTTATGCTGTGTT